ATGTCATTAGGATAAGGTTGTTTCCTTCTGCTAATGGATATGGTTGCTCTGCTGATTTAATGGTCAAATATGGAATATCTGAACTGATATAAAGGCGGAGTCCCTGTGTTATTAACCCCTGTTAAGTTCTGTGCCCCAGTACTGTGACGAGCTCAGCTCGCTCAGATAAGCAGTGAGTGGTAAATTAGGGCCTAGATATGAGGGTATGGGTCTATGCAGTGAGTGCATCATACAAAAAATCCTGCCCCATGCGGTACACGACGGGAAAACACTACCATGTATTTGGTTTAAAATAGCGACTTGCGGTGTATTTTTGGTTGGTTTTTATTGTTGTTTTCTCGGTTTCTTGGTATCACTTGATAGAATGGAAGATACATGTATATTGCAGAAATAGAGATGATTTTAATTGGTTTCCAGACTGGAAGTAGCTTGAAATTGAGCCCAAAGTAGCAGAAATATCTGATTTTTGCAGATATTCCAGAGGAAACAAATTACATCACTCAACCAATACATGTCCAAGTGGTCGGTCTAATGTGTGTTCACAAATGCACTGACACTAATTATACAATCATTACAATAATGCAGTATTATGCATAATAGTAAATCTTCTATTTTTGTAAGTGAATAAAAATCAAGGCCTGGGGATGTAACTACATAACAGAGGAGATCAAGGCCTGGGGATGTAACTACATAACAGAGGAGATGTTTTAGTGCCAGGAATGCATATAGTTTACTCTGGACTATTTTTAAATTGGCAATTTTTTAATTTTGTGTGAAATTGGTAAAATTGCCAATTTCTGATCACTCTGTTGCATAGTTGAAATAGTTAAATGGGCAGCTTCTTGTACTAAATTGACAGAATGGAAGGCACACTAGCAAAATAGCTAAGAGTCTGGTTAACTGGAACATTGGAAATGACCTAAAATGAGACTCAAATTGGGTAAAAAATCACCAATGTGTAAATATCACCAAGACTGCTAATTCTGCAAAAGCATAATTGCAGGAGTTTTCCATCAAATTTTGGTGTCAATACCTTTGGAAAAAGCTTCTCTATTCTTCCATAAGATTTTTTTTTTTTTTTTTTTTTTTAGAATATTCTTGGACCCTGTGAACATGTTTCAGATCTGGGGTCTGGACCTCTTAAATAGGATGCTAACCCTTTCAGGGTTCAGACCCCTGATCTGAAAATTGCTCTCAGGGTCCAAGAATTACAAAAAAAAACATGAAAGGATAGAGAATCTTTTTCCAAAGGTAGCAGAACCAAAGTATGATATTTGATGGAAAATTTACGGAATTACTCTTTCACAAAGTTTGAGGTCTTGGTGATATTCACGAATTCACAACTTTCCCCACTTTGAGTCCTCTTTTAAGCCAATTTCATTATTCCAGTTGACCAAACTCTTTGCTATTTCGCTAGTATGCCTTCCGGCTAGCCAGTTTCCCCGAATCCCTTCACAAAATATTATGCTGCTCACACTCCAACAGCTCGACAATTCCTAAAAACTATTCGTCTCGACTCGCTCCTAACACACGTGTGTATAAAATGTCACTGGTCACTTGTGGGTACAGGGTGTGGGAACTTGTGGGCTACTGAGTCTGGGTGAGGCAGCATGGTGTGTGTTGTTCTGGCTCAGGAGGATGGCCGTCCAATTCACTGTACTGATGGAGCAGCAAAATTTTGAGTGGCCTTGAGCGTCCAAGTCTTACTCAGCTTCACTTCCAGCCTCACTCCAGCTTCCCTTCCCCATCAATAAACACGCATGACAAAATGTACTCATGTACTACTATTAAGGAGACATCTATCATCAGCATATCATACTTCCATTTTACTATGACACTGTAAGAGGTGACAAAAATCATTGCAGCAGAGAAATTAAAGCCACAATACCATAATTAGAAAATTTTACAATCAACCTACAATATAGATGAAGCTAAAAGAGTGTCTGGTACAACCCCATAACAGTTATCATGTACATAATCCTCAATGACTAACCACACTCACTTTTATCTTGGTTTATCCTCAATTTATAACTAGTTGTCATTCATTAAAGCAATTTATACAAAGACACTCACAGTAAGAAATCATAGCATGAAAGTGAATATTTGTGTAAAAGAACTCAAAGCAAAAGCAATACTACAGAAGCATTTTAAGTGCAAACAGATTATGACAGATGTGTTTTTAGAAAAGAAAGGTTTTACCAGAGCAATTAAGGCAATACCCAGATAAGAAAATGAATGTTCCACATTTCCCAGCAGGAACAGAACGGAAAGTGAGATTATGGGGAGTGATACGAGAAGTAGCCAAACAGATATACAGGCTGCCTGAACACTTAAGATAGCATTTCATTAGAGATCAAACTTTGAAAGTCTATTAAACAGAGTAGTATACATGGGAAACCTGGGAATGTATAAACAGAGGAAGGACCACGAATGCCCGTAAAATGTAATTCCAATTAAGTACCAGTTTCCCAAACCCTGTCAAGCCAAAAATTTGCAATCCTGAAATGACCATCTCAAACTGGAGTAACCCTGCTTTCTTTTATAATCCGTTCTATAAAAAAAAGCATAAATAACTTTTTCTGAATGACAAATCCTGAAAACCATATTTTATATGGACAAGTGAAAAAGAGTGGAGAAAATTTAGGACTTTGGTGATGGTATACCTTCGACATTCAGAAACCCATTGATTAATACAAGATTATTAACCCTTTCACAGTTGAGACCCCTGCTCGCAAACTTGCTCTCAGTATTGAAGAATTTAAAAAAAAAAAATCTTAAGAAATAAGAGAATCTTTTCCCGATGGTAATAAAACCAAAAGTACAAAATCAGTAATTTCATAAGTTCTTTCAACTTATGCGAAATTACATTCCTCACCAAAGTTAGTGGTCTCAAGCAATATTAACGCATCGGCAATTTTATGCACTCTGACTCTATTTTTGGGGCCTATTCATTATTCCATCAACTATTATTCATGAGCTATTTTGCTAGCAATAACCTTTTATTCTATTGATTGAGGACAAGAAACTGCCCATTTACCTATTTCAACTACCCATTAATGATCAGAAATTGGTAATCTAGCCAAATACAGTGGACCCTCGCATACCGTTGGCATCACATAACGTTAAATCCGCCTAGCGATACATTTAATCGCTAAAAATGTTGCCTCGCAAAGCGCGTAAAAACTTGCTCAACGCTATTCGTCCGAGACGCATCTAATGTGCGGCCTGAACCAGCCTCACATGTTCCGCTGGTGGCTTTGTTTACAAGCTAGATTCCGTGGTAACATCCAAGCATACAATCGGAACATTTCGTATTACTTAAGCGTATTGTGGTGATTTCATCTGCCAAATACTGCCCATGGGTCCCAAGAAAGCTTTCTAGTGCCAACCCATACACCGGAATAAGGGTGAGAATTACTATAGAGATGAAGAAAGAGATCATGCTAAGTGAGAAAGTGAGTACGCGTCTCTGACTGCTGGCCTGGTTTGCATAGTAAACCCAAATCAACCATCCTCTACTATTGTGTCCAAGAAAACGCGAATCAAGGAATCTGTTCTTGCCAAAGGTGCAACCGTTTTTTCGAAACAGATATCGCGAAGTGAATGAAGATGTTTGAGATACTCTTATTGTGTGGAAAAAGAAAAAAAGATTTGCAGGAGATAGATATCTCAAGCGATCATATGTGACAAAGGCTAAGGAAGTTGCATTAGAATTTAATAGAAAAATGCCTGCACAAGTGATGATGTGAGTGAATTTAGAGGCCAGCAAAGGTTTGGTATAAGAGAATTTAAGAAGCGTAGGGCATACATATGTGATCAGGCATGTGAGGCTGCCAGTTCGGACCACAAAGCAGCTGAAAAATATGTGCAGGGAGATTCAAGGAGTACATAGAAAGTGAAGGACTGAAACCTGAACAAGTGTTTAATTGTGACAAAACAGGCCTGTTTAGGAAGAAAATGCCACAGGACCTACATTACTCAAGGAAAAGGCACTCGCCAGGACATAATCCTATGAAGACAGTCTTACTCTGTTAATGTGTGCCAAGCTAAGAGGTGATGCAAAGTGAAGCCTTTATTGTGTATCACTCTGAAAACCCCAAGGAGCGATCCAGTAAAACAATGTCTCTCAAGGCTAAATGTGTGTGCTGCGTAGGGTCAACCAGCAAGGCAAGGGATCACTAGGGACTTTTTCTATGACTTGGTTACACCAAGCATTTGCCTCCATTGTGAAAAATTACATAACCTGAAAAGAATTAGGACCTTAACCCTTTGAGGGTTTTTTCGTCGTACTAGTACGTCTTACGCTTAGGGGTTGTTTGACGTACTAGTACTCATAAATTCTAGAGCGGCCTCAATCTAGTGGGAGAAAGCTGGTAGGCCTTCTAAGAAGAATGTTCTATGTGGTCAGTTGTGCACAGTCAAAAAAAAATCCTGCAGCACACAGCTGCATAATGAGAAAAAAAAAAACTTGACCATTTTTTTTAATAAATCAGCGACTTTGCAGTGTGATTATTCGTATGTAATTATTGTTGTATTCTAGATTTCTTGTCTCATTTTATAGAATAAAGACATATTACAGAAACAGAGATGATTTGACTGTTTTACACAAAGAAAGGTGCCGTGAAAATAGGAGCTCAAAGTAGCAGAATGTCGATTTTTGTACCAAACTTCAAAAGTAAACAAATCGTGCCAAGCGTTGCCATACACGTCAACTGTGAGTCTAATATTCTTGCACCAGTGCACACCAATAATAATTATACCATTTTTTACACTAATGCAGTAGTCTGCATAACAGTAAATCTTATATTTTTTGTGAAAATAAAAATTCAAAGTGGAAAGCAAAAGAGATAATAAGGAGGGGCTGAACGTGGAATAATGACTAGAGGAAATTGTCATTTTAGTGCCAGGAATGTCTTTCTTGTTTATTCTGGACCCTAATCGGAAATTGCATCTTTTGAAATTTGAGTGGAAAGTTGGCGGAAAATTGCTAAACTTCTTACCACTGTACTGGATAGTTGAATTTCATAAATGAGTCGTTTCTTTCTTCTTGCACCCATTACGATAGAAAAAATGGAGTTCTAGCGAAATAATTCATGTTTTTTGTCGACTAGTACAGTGAAATTAGGACGAAAATGGGGCGCAAAGTTGGAGGCAAAAAAATCGCCGATGGTAAACATCGCCGAGACCGCTAACTTTGCGAGAGCATAATTTCCGAAAGTTTGCTAATCAAATTACAAACTTTTTGGTGTCTTTAGATCGGGAAAAGATCTCTAATCTTGTCATAAGAAAAAAATAATTTTTTTTTGTTATTTATAAGATGTTGTGGCCGACCCTGAGAACGTAGTTTCGGAGAGGCCTGTCGACCCTCAAGGGTTAAGTGCCTACTGGTGTTTAGACAATGCCCTGGACATTCTAACAGACTTGGCGAAGGACGACTTTGTGAGACAAGAGCTCATAATGGTCAAGTTTTGCCTCCTAATACCACGTCCCTCTCCGCAGGGCCGCATGGACCAGCAGGATATTGCAAAACTTCAAAAAAACTGTACACAAAAGCTCTGTTTGAACGGTGCTTTGTAGTGACCTCAGAAACACAACTGACTCTAAAAGAGTTCTGATAGCGCCCATTCATATCCTCAATTGTGTAAACCTCATAGGATAAGCTTGGAGGGAGTGGACTAAGAGGACTTGAAAACTCTCCTGAAAAAACTGTGGCCAGAATGTGGTAGATCAAAAAGGGATATTTGAAGGGTTAGAGGCAAACCCTGGGACCTATGCAGTTTATGAATCAATATGTGGCCATAGGGGAAGTCCTTGGGGTTGCGAGGTTTTAGTGGGGAGATGTGGAAGAGTTCGGTGGAGGAGGACAATGACGAACTAAACCACTGTGAGCTGTCTAGATCCATCTTCAACAGCAAGAGGGCAGGGGACCGTGAGGAAACGCTTCGGGAGGAAGAGAGAAATGAAGAAGTTGCCTACTTCAAAGAATAAGGAAAACTGTGCAATGTGGCTTATAAAGAGCAAACCTTATGATGAAAAAATCACCTCAGACATCTGTTGCAGCCGGTTGGCAACCTGGTACACTGACAGTGGTTGTGAACCACTTTAGGAAAGTCATAAAGGAACGAAGAGGTTACAGACCTTCAATGGACATGATATGTTGTGCACAGAAGTCCATTGACTCACAAGCTGGTCCTAGTAGCATTAAAAGAAGAAGGGAAGTAAAAACCCCCCCCCCCCCGGAAAAGACTTGCCACCTCAGTCCTAATGAAGGGGATACCCCGTAAAAACACAACACCATCAGCACCTCCTCTCCCTCCTCCCATCCCCCAATCATCCCAGATCTTCAATAACGGTAAGTGTCCATGTAAACGTGCATTGTCTTAATTCAGTTTGTGTGTATTGAAATTTATAATTCATGTGGCAAAAAAAAAAAATTCATACTTTTGGAGTAGGATGGATTATTTGATACCATTATTTCTTATGGGGAAAAATTAATTCGCGTACAATAATTACGCATAACATTGAGCCTCTCAGGAATGGATTAATAGCGTGATGCGAGCGGTCCACTGTACATGCAAAATTCAGAGAGGCCAATTTCATAATAGGTTCCCGGGAGACTAAATATGCAAACCATTCCTAGCATTAAAATTAAAACATTTACCTTCTCTGTTCATGAAGTGCACATCTCCGGCCCCTCTCATAATACACGTGCTTTCTATTATGAATTTTTTATTCATGCAGTAGGTAGTAGTAGGTGTAGACAAGCAACACCCAGGGAAGTACTACCTCCTGCCAGATGACTGTGAAACAGAAACCTGTAACTGTTTGCAAAGATGGTAGGATTGCTGGTGTCTTTTTTGTCGTCGTAAAACAACACTAGTAACTGGGATGTCTTTGCTACTCCTACTTACACTTTGGTCACACTTCACAGACACGCACATGCACATATCTATACATACATCTAGGTTTTTCTCCTTTTTCTAAATAGCTCTTGTTCTTCTTTATTTCTTCTATTGTCCATGGGGAAGTGGAAAAGAATCTTTCCTCCGTAAGCCATGCGTGTAGTATGAGGCGACTAAAATGCCGGGAGCGATTGGCTAGTAACCCCTTCTCCTACAGATATTTACTAAAAAAGAGAAGAAAAACTTTATAAAGCTGGGATGCTTGAATGTGCATGGATGTACTGCAGATGACAAGAAACAGATGATTGCTGATGTTATGAATGAAAACAAGTTGGATGTCCTGGCCCTAAGTGAAACAAAGCTGAAGGGGGTAGGGGAGTTCCGGTGGGGGAAAATAAATGGGATTAAATCTGGAGTATCTGAGAGAGTTAGAGCTAAGGAAGAGGTAGCAGTAATGTTGAAGGATCAGTTATGGAAGGAGAAAAGAGAATATGAATGTGCAAATTCAAGGATTATGTGGATTAAAGTAAAGGGGTTTGGATGCAAAAGTGGAGAAGAGAGGAATGTAGAGGAGAGAGATTTTTGGGGGATGTTAAGTGAATGTATAGGAACCTTTGAACCAAGTGAGAGAGTAATTGTGGAGGGGCAGAATGTAAAGTAGGAGAAATTTTTAGAGAGGTGTGGTAGGTAATTTTGGGGGGCCAGGTGAAAAATATAAGGGGGCCCCTTTGATTGAACTTTGTATAAAAAGGGGGTTTAGTTAAAGGAATAAAAATTTTTTAAAAAAAAAGGTAAAAAATATACAAGAATGTGCAGGGCAATGACTGGTTGTTGATTATGTTTTGGGGAAAATAAAAGACGTTGAGAGACTTCAGGATATCATGTTTATAAGGGCCACAGATAATCAATCACTTCTTATTTTGTAGTACACTGAGAGTAAAGGTAGATGGAATACAAGGAGAATAGAAGCATCAGAGAAAGAGAGGTAAGGTTTATAAACTAAAGAGGAGGCAGTTAGGGTAAGATATAAACACTATTGGAGGATAGATGGGCTAATGATAGCATAGGCAATGGAGGTCGTAGAGGTATGGGAGGTTTACAAATGTTGTGTTAGAGTGTAGGAAAAGAAGTTGTGATTCAGGAAAGTGGGTGTGGAGGGTAGAGGAGTGATTGGAATGATGGAGAAGAGAGAGTAGTAAGGGAAGAGAAGTTAAGCATTATGAGAAGCTTTAACAAAGTAGAATGAGCAAGGGGGAAGAGTATTGGAGAAAAGAGAGAGTTAAGAGAGTGGGAAGCAAGTGGGGCATGAAGAAATGGGAGCCTTAAAATTTGTATAAAAGATTTGGAGATACGAGATAAGAAAGTTACAAGAACACAATGAGGGGTAGTTGTTGGTTGAATAGTAAAGAGTTTTGAAGGATTAACAGGATGAGGCACAGAATGACTCAGTGAGCTTCAGTGTAGTAAGGAGCAAAGGTAGGATCGGATGAAGCGTTGGAGGTGAGAGGTAAGAGTTTTTGAGGGGGTTGGACTTCAGAACGCATGCGTGAGCGTTTGATAGGATGAATGAGAATAAAGTGGTTTACATACTGAGGGGGGTGTGAGTAAAGTACATTCATGAAGATAGGGAAACGGAAAGGTCCGGGACTGAAAGTAGTGAGTTGGGAATATAGTGCTAGCTGAGAGGGTGTAAAAGTTCATTTAAAACTTAGTGTAAAGCTACGTTTGGCAAGCAGTGATGGAGTGGGAAAGAGAAGGTGAAAGTTGTTTCTTATTACGGGCCACCCGCCTTGGTGGGAATCGCCAATTGTGTTAAAATAATAATAAAATAATTAACAAGTTAAGGAAGCCTAGAGAACAAATGGATTTGTCAGTTAAAAATAGGAGAGGAGAGTTATTAAATGGAGAGTTAGAGGTATTGGGAAGATGGAAGGAATATTTTGAGGAATTGTTAAATGTTGATGAAGATAGGGAAGCTGTGATTTCGTGTATAGGGCAAGGAGGAATAACATCTTGTAGGAGTGAGGAAAAGCCAGTTGTGAGTGTGGGGAAGTTCGTGAGGCAGTAGGTAAAATGAAAGGGGGTAAGGCAGCCGAGATTGATGGGATAAAGATAGAAATGTTAAAAGCAGGTGGGGATATAGTTTTGGAGTGGTTGGTGCAATTATTTAATAAATGTATGGAAGAGGGTAAGGTACCTAGGGATTGATTGGCAGAGAGCATGCATAGTTCCTTTGTAAAATGGCAAAGGGGACAAAAGAGAGTGCAAAAATTATAGGGGGATAAGTCTGTTGAGTATACCTGGTAAAGTGTATGGTAGAGTTATTATTGAAAGAATTAAGAGTAAGACGGAGAATAGGATAGCAGATGAACAAGGAGGCTTTAGGAAAGGTAGGGGGTGTGTGGACCAGGTGTTTACAGTGAAACATACAAGTGAACAGTATTTAGATAAGGCTAAAGAGTTTTTTTCTGGCATTTATGGATTTGGAAAAGGCGTATGACAGGGTGGATAGGGGGGCAATGTGGCAGATGTTGCAGGTGTATGGGGTAGGAGGTAGGTTACTGAAAGCAGTGAAGAGTTTTTACGAGGATAGTGAGGCTCAAGTTAAGAGTATGTAGGAAAGAGGGAAATTATTTCCCAGTAAAAGTAGGCCTTAGACAAGGATGTGTGATGTCACCGTGGTTGTTTAATATATTTATAGATGGGGTTGTAAGAGAAGTAAATGTGAGGGTCTTGGCAAGAGGCGTGGAGTTAAAAGATAAAGAATCACACACAAAGTGGGAGTTCCCACAGTTGCTCTTTGCTGATGACACTGTGCTCTTGGGAGATTCTGAAGAGAAGTTGCAAAGGTTGGTGGATGAATTTGGTAGGGTGTGCAAAGGAAGAAAATTAAAAGTGAATACAGGAAAGTAAGGTTATGAGGATAACAAAAAGATTAGGTGATGAAAGATTGGATATCAGATTGGAGGGAGAGAGTATGGAGGAGGTGAATGTATTCAGATATTTGGGAGTGGACGTATCAGTGGATGGGTCTGTGAAAGATGAGGTGAATCACAGAATTGATGAGGGGAAAAGGGTGAGCAGTGCACTTAGTAGTCTGTGGAGACAAAGAACTTTGTCCTTGGAGGCAAAGAGGAGAATGTATGAGAGTATAG